AGAAGCTTCATGAACGGCTGAAGCAGCAGAGCTACACTATGGAGGTCCACGATGGTCTCTACATGTTTCTGCAATCGCCGTTAGCTCGCAATGTGCACGAACAGAGCGCGACAACATGCATGCAGATGTATGTCGGGCTCTCTTTCTCGATTTCATTCACCGGAATGTAGAGCTAGCCTTTGCACCACTAATAAAACGATGCAGTGCTAGATATTTGCACAAGGATAACAATGATGCTCCGGAACACTGCTCTCCAGGGAATCTCCTCCTTGTATCAGCCCTCCACTCCTCCAAGCTCAGTTTCAGCTGTATTTCGTGAGCGTTCAAGCGCTTCTCACCAGTGCATGAATTGTACGTTCTCTGTATGTGTTTGTGAAGCGCGACATTGTGTTGCGTTGCTTGCATTGCGCTATGCTGCATGTTCGTGCTGCCAGGCTGTATGCCTGGCTTCAAACTCCCTTTGGCTCCAGTTTCACAGCCTTCTTCTCATGGAGCAGCGGCTTCAGACTGAGAGCCTGGGCGTTGATGTTGGTGCCCAAGTACTTCCCGAGTACACAAGAAAATAGCAACTTCATGCACCAGCTCAGGTACGCCTTGACCCCGGGACGCTAAGCCCTAAGCCCCAGATCACGCGTGTCCCATATTTCAACTAACCCAACAGCACTTGCAGATATGCAGAATCTAGTTTTGAGGTGTTCGCGCTGAATCCTATATCACTGATATTAAACCCTCAAGACAGTTGCCGCTGCCTCCGAAACCTCTGGAAGTTTCCATTCCAGTTTAGCGATGGGGGTGTGCTTGCGTTGGTGTGTGTCATGTTTCTTCTGAATGCGCCTTCTGCGTTTTAGGGCGGATTTGGCGCAGTTTCCACTTCTACAGGGAGCGGCGTACAACCGGAACTTTGTTTACTTCGAAAGCGATGATGCGATTGTGCCCCAAACCGTCAGCAGCTTGGCCAGTGCAGGCTGCGCTGTGATTGTTGTGAGTTCATCAACTCAAATGGAGCTTCACACAGGCAGAGCTCTACAGTGGTTTTGAATTGAGACTTTCGCACACACTCCATAGAGACAGTTACAGTTGGACTGTTTGAGCTGAGAACAATAAGAGGCCTCTTTAGACATCGGTGAAGCACGCAGCTGACATTAACAACACATTTCGTTGCATTGTGTTCTGTTATGTCCTACGGCGACTTCACAGGTTTCGCTGTTCCTGCTGCCGTCTCTGCGCGGAGCTATCATTGTAGTGGGAATACTGCTTGTAATCGATATTGTTATCTTGGGGTTCATGGCGCTTTGGGGTTTGCCCCTCAATTTGCTCACAATGGTGAACCTTACAATATCTATAGGTGAGCCAATAGGTTGAGGACTGCTGTTTGAGGGGAATCTGAGCACACTGTAGAATATCCAAGATAGTTTAAAGGACGTACTCGAAGCTCACTTAAGGAAGGTTTTGTTACCGTGCAACCACTGAATGCAATTAGAAAAAAGAGTGTGAAAAAGAGTGTGAACTAAAGCAGAATGCATATAGTAAGGATTGCAGTAGAAGGATTAGAGCATAAAAGCGCACATCTAAAGGCACAGACGCTTTCCGCTGTGAGTACACAACCCTGCCTTCCAGTTACAGTGAAAGCGTCTATGCACTGCAGATGCTCCTATAAAATTGTTTCAAACAAAAGGAAAGGTTTGTTTAGCTTGTGTGTGGATGTTTTGATGTCACTGAGAGGCGCTTAAAACGCCTGTAAAATGTGCTGCAAATGCACATTTTGAAGGCAGCCTTTATCTCTTCGACTGTGATTGACCTAATTTTACGTTCTTTCAGGTTTGCGTTTAGATTAATACTTGTGATCATGTGTATTTGTGTATATGTTTGTATTCAACACTGTGCTTGAATTTGTCACCCTGTTGGTCTGTGTGGCTGTGCATGAAGGGTTTTCTGTGGACTACGCGACACACACGACCCACGCATTTTGCCACTGCATGGGCCAGAAGAGAGGCCTCCGCGCATTTGAAGCGGTGTTGCTTGTAGGAGGTCCACTGTTGCACGGTGCTCTGTCTACTCAGCTAGCGGTTATTCCCCTAGCCTTTGTCGACAGTCCAGTGCTTTCTGTGTTTTTCAAAATGACGACACTGGTGATAATCGTGGGGGTTACGCACGGGCTGATGCTGCTTCCCGTGCTGCTTTCCCTCATTGGCCCCATGCAACAGTCGCAACAGAAAATGGTTCAGCAGCTTCTGGCGCTGCAGAAACAGTATGACCGATTAGAGGAACAGATCGTTGCATGCGGAGGGAGCAGAGAAAACCCCAGACTGAAAAAGCAAAGGAAAGCTCTACGGCGCCTCATCGAGCAGCAGGAACAGCCGCCTGAGACAGCTAGAGATGCCTGTCTCGAATTTGCAAAGGGACTCTGCCCTGACCATCCCAAAAACGTATTTTTAAGAAACAGACAAATCCGCAACTGGGTGCAACAAGAAAAATAATGTTATCGTGTTCACTTCATTCAGAGAAGGAAAAGGCGAAGCACAAACGCGCTGGTCGCCATGAAAAATCGAATAATAGTGAGAAAAGGCTCAGCTTTTCTAGGGCAATTCAGGGCAGGCTTGAAAG